GTCAGTGAAAATGTAAGTAGGTAGAGATAAGCTAGACAAAAGGAAAAACAGGGAGGGGGAAGAGAGCAGGAGCGAAAAAGAGGGAGACAGATAAAATACAAGGTGAAAAAGAGGCAGTCTGAAAAAGGGAATAGGTGGAGATCTGGGCAGGGGGAAGGAAACGGGACAAAAAGGCCAACAGGAAAACACTACAGAGGTAATAATACAAGGTAAAAAAGAGGCTAGCAATGAAGAAGATCAAGCAGTAGCATCATTCTTGCTATCTCTGGTCAAACGAATATTCAAATACTAAGCTAGTCTTATAGCATAGTTACATTACACATTACACTATGGCTGCATACTAGGGCTGTGCAAAGCTTCAGTCCCTGATTCGATTCGGTGGAGATTTGGCAGCCAAATCTCTGAATCTGAATCGAATCAGAGGACCCTTTAATCTCTCTGAATCAAATCAGAACCCTCCGAATTGATTTGGAAAGATTTGGTGATTCGGACACAGACACAGCTTTAAATGTTTTTTCTATGTACCTCGAGGTAGCAGGTGGCTCATGAATGCTGCAACGCTGGGGCACATGGAGCGTCCCACAGACCCACAGGTGGACCAGAATCACTTTCATTCCACTTCCGGGCTTGTCAGGGAGCATGCAGGGGGACCCCCTGTGGCCCCCCCAGGTCAGTGACTGCTGTTTCCTGGGTCTGGGAGGGCATCTGGGGGCCCCCTGAGGCGGACTGCCAAGCTGGCGGGGTGCAGGGGGGTCCCCAGCATGCTCCCCAGCGGACCCAGAAGTGGACCAGAAATACTTCTGGTCCACTTCCAGGTTCACCCACACCTGTGGGATTCTCCATGTGCCTCAGCATTACAACATTCACAAGACGTGCTGGTACCTCAAGGTATGGAGAAAACACTTTTAAAGCTGTTTCTGCGTCCAAATCACTGATTCTCTGAATCAGCATCAAATCTTCAGAGCCTGATTCGGCTGCAATGAACTGGGGACAGTGACCTGAATCAACTAATAAAATCACTGTCCCTGATTCAAGCTGAATCTGAATCCAAATCTAATAAGGTCCACTTCGCACACCCCTAGTGTGCACACAGTCAAATAATCTGGGAGAATTCTCCCAGGTTTGTTTTCCTGGTAGAAGAACTTACCCAGAGATCCCTGAGCAGATAGTTGAACGCTGAGCACCTGAAGAGCAGATGGCTGCATACCATCAGCACTGCAAGCTATGGGGTCCCTGTCCACACATCTCCACATGCTCTGTACTCCCAGTCTGTCCAGGGACAGATGGCAGCAGTGCACAAGGCCGCACTGATTGGCTGACCCAGAATGCTCAGAGTCAGCCTGTATCTCCCTGCAGTGCAATGTGGAGTACGGAAGAGGATGTGTTCTACTCCTTGCTCAGCCAGAGCAGCAGAGTCCAGCAATCAACAGTCTCCCCCAGGAGAGAAGCAGGAACAAAGCACACTGCTGGTGGTTTCTCTTGGAAGAGAATATGTAGACAGAAGAAACTCTCCTGAGAGTAATTTAACCCTAGTTATTTCCAGGTTATTTTTCTCCTGCAACAACCATTTTCACTCTTGGAGAAAAGTCCTGGACATCTGTACACTTGTGGTTTCTCCTGGGAGAACAGATTCCCCCAGGAGAAAAAGATCAACATGGCATATACATGTACAAAAAATGGATAATTCTAAAATAGCTACCATTCTGTTCTAGTTGACAGCCTTCATCTAGCTCAGTTTGTTTATGCCTCAGGCTTCTAGTTGCATACACTGATGAACCATATGGGCAATAAGTTAATTTCATGTAGAGCAGGACTGTCCAACTGGGGGCCTGATCTGTTAGGAGTTAAGTTGCATTCCCTCTCCTCCCAGTTGCTGCTATTATCCCTATTGTATTGGGCTCCCCCTCCCTCCTCCGGCTGCTGCTTCATGTCCCCACCCCGGGGGGTAGGGCAATGTGGCTCACCATGCAGGGGGTGAATCCAGGACCATGCCAGGTGCACAGTGCAACAGCAGGACTATCCGTGTAGCCCATTGGCATGTGCCCTCTGCCCAACTACTTGAGAGCTGGACAGCTCTGCTGTAGAGAGAGCCATGAGAGCAGGGGAAGCTAAAAGGAAAGAGCAGGTATTAGACCTGATTTTTTTTCAGGTCATCCAGCTTGCTTTGCCTAATGTCTGAACTATAAGCCCCAAACAGATGCTTGCAAAGATTATGTTAATTTATCTGTGCTGATGCCTCAGCATTATATATATGCAATAGCAATTTAGTTCTGTTTACAGTACAATGGGTATCTGCTAATAGGTATTTTGAAAGTGTGTATTAATCCTCTTTGTCTTATTTTCCCCTATTGACTGAGGGTTAATTTTCTATTACTAAAACCTTGATTATAGCCTGACACTTCTATGGCTTTCCTTACTAAGGCATTTTATAACACAGGGACTTTACAAGCCTAAGTAGTTTCAGGATTAAGTTTTAGTAGCCATGAACTTGAACAGGCTTAAATTTAAAGTAGCAATGATCCTACAAGACATGTTGGCTGGCTGTGCTGGGGTGTTGAGAAATGAGAGCAGAAGGTTTAGTAATTTGAGATGTCATGATCAACACAAGATCATCTGCATAACTCAGGAAGAGCTGAAAGACCTACTGCAATAGTAGTTGTGGCAGGAAAGAGACACAACAGTATGGTTAGTATTTCAACCATACTGGAAAAACAGACTTGACACAGAGGCTTTGGAGCAAGTCTCAGACTATATATTTGAATGCCATCGTAACTGAAGGCAATAAATGCATAAATGAAGCATGTTGTGGGCTAAGTCAGAGTTCACAGAACAGTAAAGAATCTGAATGAAACAGTTACCTGCCTCTTTATCTGTACAGTGACTCCATTAGTAATTGAAAGCATAGATATAGCCAATAGCAACATACAGCTGTGGAACTTGAACTTTGTAAAGGCATTTGAGCTTGTGCTACAAAGATACTGAATGTCTCCTGGATGCACAAAAAAATCCAACAAATACAAGTGTTTGATAATGGAGTTAAATAGTGAAAAAAGACAGGAGACAACAGGCTAGAAAAAAGATACAATAGAAAGGTTGTGTGCCAGGAAGGAAAAAAATGTCAACCAAGAAAGGTAAAGCATGAAGACTGGGCTGGATTATTTAAAAATAGTGACCAAGTCCTGCCAACACTTATTCACAAGTAGTCCCATTCAGCAAGAGAGTTAGTAATCACCAAGACAATTTGTTATAAAAGCTGATAAAAACCTAGGGATGCTAGTCACTCTGGTCTGAGAACTTGGATCTTTTTAATTAAGCTTTCAGCTTCTCAGAAGCAAACTGTATTTAAGTCACTACGACTATGAAATCCTGTCAATAGATACAATGATAATTCCCTTCTGGAAGTGGGGATGATAGCTGACTGAGAGGACCTTCCACTAAACGTTTTAGTAAGAAACAGACATAAGGTGCATTTTATCTCACTGCTCTTTACCCAGGAGCGATCCTGTTAACAGCAGTCTTGCTGGAAATGATGTGACTAGTTTAATTTTGCACACGTTGACCTTAAGATATTATGGGACACATTCTAAGGAGCTGTGTCTTCTGCTGTAGTCATCTCTTCCTTGCAGAGCATTCCCCCAAGAATGAGAAACCTCTCAAGTTCAGCATCATCAGGCAGGTTAGCAAATCAAATGTGGTATGACCCTATTTCCCCATCCAGCGCTTTTTTTTTAAAGGAATTTCTAATGCAATAAAAACAACATGCATGTGCACACACCCAGCATGCAATAATTTTTTGTTTACTATTTGTTAAAAAACATCGTCTTTGAGGCAACACCCCTGGACTACTGCTATGACACTTTCTGCAGTGTTGAATACATACACTAGTCAGTCTGATGATCCATCTATGCTACCACCTTGAAAGCAACTAGTTACTGAATGGTATGAAAAAGTTCTCTTGGAATTTAAGATGGGTCAGTTAAGCTTAGACACTCACACTAAAGTTTATGAACTTCAATAATTTAATGTTAACCAAGAGTACAAAGTATGAAAGTTAGTGTCTTAAATTAGGTTCAGAAAGCAAATCTAAAGAAAATGTTTACAGTGCAGCAGGTTTCATTTTTTTTAGCACCTTGAAGAAGAGTCCTTGAAGTGTTTAAGACCGTGCATCAACACTAGTGTGATATCAAGTACAAAATCCATTTAACAACATATAAATTGTTCTTCACATTTCTATGCTTGAAAAGCTACATAAAAAGTATATTAAAAACAAGTTTTTCAGTGTTTTCACAGTTTGGAGTGGACATGGGATGGAAGTATTGATATTCAAGAGACTTGGTTAAGAGGCTGAATGATCCCAAGGCAATCATATAGCAAGTCCAAAGGCACTGACGATACAGTACATAGTCTTATTCTCCCATCTCACAGTGCAGTTTCCTACAAACAGAAAAGTATTTAAAGCCATGAGAAACATTAGTCACTGCAGAGAGGTATGCATTTCCCTCGTCATGATCAGAACTGTTCTGTTAGAGAACGTTCTACTTCCAATCCAGAACAAAGATGCCATAATAATTAGGTTTTGTTGTTTTAGAAGGGAGTATTAGCTGCCCATTTCATCTATATCAAAATATACCAAGTCCTCCTGGAGAAGCAAACTGTCAAAAATTCAGATTAAGTGTTGTACTGTTAAAACACAGTGTTAAGTCTCGCACAAGAACAGGCAGTATTTTTACAATACAGTTTAAGTTCAAGAATAAAACCCAAAATATTTTAATTAGCTTTTTCTTAAGAGAGCAACTTAATTGAATCAAAACTTGTACCATCACTGGAGTTGTCCCAGAAGCAAGAACTTGCTGTATGCAGTCCAGCACCATTTTTTTGCATAATCACGCAGGTCACTGTTAAAACACAAGTGTTTCATTAGTGGCAAACCAAATCAAATTTACATTCTTGCTTAGTATTACTAATAAGGATATGTGTTACATCTATAAATTCTGAGCTTACCACGACTGATGTCTAGTAAGCCCTCTGTCTCAAACTTACTGGCAGAAGTACAGATCCTGTGACCTCAAAGCAGTACAAGAAAACTAAATCAAGACTCACTAACCTCAAGAGAAGCGAAGAATGTGAAGATGCTAACCAATGCAAGTTATCTGCTCAGAACATAACTTGCATGAAACCCAAGAACAGCCCAGGACTCACCCGTAGGGCACTTCACTTGATACCAGCTGCCAGCTAGGCATTCAGCCACTGATTACTACTCTCTGAAACCAATGCTCCAGCCAGTTCTCTATCCACCTTACAGTCCATTCATCCAG